TCTAAGAAATATAACACATTCTGGATGTACTTTAGACAGCTTGAACTGATTTTCATTCTAGTTCCTCAAACCAGACGTCCTAGCAGTTCTGTGGAGATCGAATAGAAAGTGATCATAAGTTTGATGAACAACTACGACCGATGACATGAGGGTCCTATGGAAGAGAAAATTCAGAAAAGTGGGTAGATTTGTTAACGTTTCGCGCACCATAAAAATAACCCTTCGGCAGCCATCGTAAGAACGAGTGACCAGTAATCCAATGTATACAATAAAATAATGAAGCATGATCGGAAACAGTAGGTGATATCAAAACAGCAGTCATCACGTTTGGGATATTGTGGCCACCGTCGCAGAATTGGTGAGGTTAGAAGAGAAACACTCTGAAACGAAATGAAACAGAGCAACCGTCTGGCTCGGAATAAAAAGAAGTGCAGAACAGACGAGAATCGCCGTTACAATCACAGTGATGATATCTGAAAATACAATCGGGTAACAGCAGATGGTCATGGCGTAACCTAGAAAAGGGACGGTTTCGAACATAGCGAGACCTCCTGGTAATATGATGACTAGGTGGAGGAGACATTTGGGTTTCTGGGAAGTGAAGAGCAAAACAGGAGTTTCGAGACCAATAATGGGGAAACAACCCTAAAAGTTAGGGCAAATCAACTAGGTTGTCATTCGCAGATATAGCAAACGGTTGATTAAAAGTGGACCGTCGTAGCTGTGTTGACGAGTAGTAGAAAAAGAAAAGAGCAGAGATGTTTCATGTGTGGTAAAACAGCTCTGCTCTTGGGAAAATCCCTTAAGATGTAACACCTTCACTGAAGGGATCACTTCCGAAAAGTGGATTTTTTCCTTGGAATCCCTTTCTTTCGAAAAATAATGCTGCAGAGCAGGAGGCCTCCAACCAGCTGACCTATTCCCCCCAAGGGGAGGCAACACAGAGAAATGGTTCTATGCCAGTAACCCATGTTTATCCGTTGACTGCCACAAGAAGGATAATGAGAAATACCCAACCAACTGCGTACTGACGATGCCTCATCAAATTGTGGCGGAACGTTCGCAAGTCAATTGCCAAGCTCATCGAACAGGCCAACAGTCATCTCATCAACAGTCGGTAAATGCGTTTGACCTACTGGTGTTTGGACACGACTGGTAACACAAATGTGTGTTAAATGAAGCACAGCAATATTTCTCGTGGCCCTAGTAATAACGTGGTGTATATCAAGGTCCTCACTAGAGTTAATCTAGAGGTTACTATAACTCGAAAGCAAACGTGCATCCGAGGCACTCATTTCACATAAAACAGAACGTTTCATCTGATCTTCACGAAAGGTACCGAAAACCCCGGATACACACGGAATTTCACTAATCCCGTGCGATGTAGTTCATATCTGCCATCCTGCCAGGAGGAAACTGCCGAAAGAATTTCTTTCTCGAGAAGGTAGTAACGTATATAGTCGTACAGACTTCTCGTTTTGGTTACAAGTATCACGCCGGAAATTCGTTCCTACCGGCAATAAGATGCTCCATCTAACCACGGCGTTCTAAGATGAACACCTAGAAGTGATCTGCTTTGGAACTTTCAGAGCACACCTTTAGTTCTTGGTTGATGCGTGTTCTCACAGCGATCCTAAACATCACTGGTGGCGATAAACTGAAAAAAGCCTCGTTCAGCAAGCAAACTGATGTAAGGTAGCCTATGTATATTGTAGATAGTGTGGAGAGGTTATGGAACCCTAACGTAGACTTCATTCTGTAAGTGAAGCTAATCTACGCTGAAAATCCCAGAAGCACTGCACAGCTGTTTCATGCTTATTGGGAATCACTAGCAGTGAGCACCCCACAAAAAATCAGGCAAGTCTCGAACGCCCAACCTTCAGGCTAGTAATTTGAACAACTTTTTCGCCACAAGCAGCTGATCAGTAGTGATTAGTTTGCACTTAGACGGGATATGGCTTGTCGGATTTTCAGCAAAGGTCGGCTTCATTTGCAGGACAAAATCACCATTAGTCTACATATACGTTGAATACGCTGATGTGTAAAGACGGTGGGCGCCTCACCGATGGTAAGTTAATCAACATCTTTTAAAGTTCAGGATGCAAAGACAACATTGTCGGAATATACAATGTTTCGTTCAACTTTATCCATTTATCCACTCGAATAGCCGTATGTAGACGGACGCGTACAAGGATCTTATTCACATGATGAACAGGTTTAAACTACCATGATTCCAAGGCCAGAACAAAAGGATACGCATCATAATTTGTTCCCAGGGTTCGCACATGTAGATAGCTAGGCAGAGATTGTACTGCTGAAAACATCGCCGTGGATATTTCAGTATATCGCACAACATCCTGGACAGAAGTATGAAGTACACACTGGTTTGGAAGACAGAATAGGCCAAGTTGGAACCTAGGAGTGAAGAAAACACAGTGGTTACGACGAAAAAGGGATGGGCATGAATAGAGCAACATAATATAGAACTCAGTTTGGTCGGGGTTGAAAAGCTTGCCAAAGTCTAAACGATGGAACCAAGGTGTTCGAAGTCAGAAACCTACTGGACAATTTTACTCTTATGTCGAGCGGCAGGCCTATGCAGTCGGAGGAATTGGCCATCGACGTACTGATTTCTAATCCTACGAATACAACGTAACGGTTAGGTTATTCAGCACAGATTGGAGCTCTTCCAGGTCACTCTCCAACGGCACGACATCATCAGCGTATGCCAAGTCAGATATTCAGGTTTGGCAACCTAACTGGATGCCAAATTGTAGCAGTATTGAGGTACCCTAATCCCGCAGGATGGATCCAGTTTCCAAGAAGGAACAAAACAGTTTGTGGGTTGGCTCACGAAAGCCATGAGATACAAAACTCATGGACTTCAATAGGTGTGGCATCTTCTCTGGCAATTTTTAGCTCTTCAGTTGTCTGACGACCGACGCGATCTCCTATTTACTTGGCTCCTCATAGTTGACATCAGATGATATTGAGGCTGGATTGTTTCGACTTGTGATGGATGGTTTACCAATCACTCACTCCGTTGATCGGACCGTACTCTCGTAATGGTTGATGAGATCCTCTCTACATAAAAAAGTTCCCAGAAGTCGCGTGGACGAAAGTACTGCAATCACCATCGCCCGAAGTGGATTTTATGTCAGATGCCACATTCGACAGATAGAGACGTAATCTTTATTGGTTCATACAGCGAGCTTTTGTTGGGGTGTGCGGAAATCGAAAAATTTGGTGACACAGGTTACCACCGTTTTTTGGCTAAAAAATGCTTTTTTTTCCAGATGTTCAGCCCCTCAAACGTCGCCACACACAACCTAACTGGTCAACATCAGTTAGTCGCATAAAGCCTTACGAAACTGTCCACTAGTTCTTTACCTGAACCAAATGATCAGCCGATATGTTAAGGCTGGTGGTTATGGTATGAGAAAGCGCTTCCGTCTAGCAGTGAGGCGGAATTTGATTCTGTCACATACGTGTGACCTATATCTCCTGCGTTTCCAAACTTTACACCTCTATGAGATCTGCCAGCTGTAACTGATGAAACCTATCGCGCACATACCTAAATATCGTCTATCTTGCAGGCCGTGCGACAACCGTTCAAATACTATGTCAACAAGCACTTTTTATAGTGCTTAGAAGGGGTGTTGGTAAGACCGAGCTCATTAAGATAGTTTATGGAATTGTCACCGTGTATTATAGTCTCGTCCACCAGTCACTCAGCCTCGTTATTGAGAGGTCACGTCTTGAGATCTTGTTATTCACTTGCTGTGATTGTGGTGGTTGGGTCTGATACAGACATCGGGGTGTAAACAGCTATCACAGTCGAGTTTGCAGAGGTACCTGTCAATCATTCAGCTGCAACACCCTTCCGGTGCCTAGTTGCCACGCCACCCGAGGGAAGCACGAGGGCTAGGATACTGTCAAGTTGCCCAAGCCTAGACAGGGGAAGTCGAGAGGCAGAGGTCGGGTTCGAACAATGGGCCTTCTGGTCAGTAAATTCGTGCTCTAACCAGTTGAACCCTCTCGCCCCAGAGGTACCTGTGAGTTTGACAAATACTGGATTTCTTTCGTTCAGCCGTAGCACCCTTTGGGTGCCTAACTGCCACGCCACCCGAAGGTTGCATGAGGGCTGGTTGGTTGTCAGGCTGCCAAAGCCTAGACAGAAGTCGAGAGGCAGAGGTCAGATTCGAACCACAGACTTTCCGGTCAGTAAATGCGCGCCCTAACCACTTAGGTCACCTGGTCCCAAATGCCGGATTTTTGGGTCGTAAGTACATTGTTAACACGGTTATTTCCGGGAATCGCAAAAATGTGGGTGTCTGAGCCTCCGGCTGATCTGTTCTTGTAGAGCCAGTGGTCCAAGAACCTGGAGTTGTGTGCCAGAATTAGGTGACCGGGTCTCCAAGAGACAGCTTATATCTAATCTAATCAACAGCCGTAAGGATCTCTTGAACCCCATCTCGAGCCTTCGACTCAAAAGCCTGAACTACAAGTCAATGGGACGAGGCTTGGTATTGTTCGATAACCCTGCCCTTTAAAGTCTGAACAGTGGGGCAGCGGTTGTTAGGGGGGAGCCTTCTCGAAGCCAATGAGTGCATAGTCTAACCCACTTAGGTGTATGGGGTCTACCTGGCCTGAGGACGCAGAGATTAAGGCATTATTATCTCAGTCCCAGTGCAGCTGCACACAGTAGGTGCCTTTGAGCAGCACCAGACTACTTGGTTTTAAAAGTGTGTCAACTGTTGAATAATGCGCGGCGGTCACGGTCGCCCGTTGGAAGATTGGAGTGTGCGGTTTTTACGACTGACCGTTTCTAACCCATCCTTCCTCGGGGGAAGGCAGCATCGCTGCTTCCATAAATATGGATATACTGGTCACCTGGGAGAAATGCCTTACTGCCTATCGTAGAGGACAGTTGTTGTATATTTGCTCTGTTTTTCAAACGTTTTACCATTTATTGCTAAATCACTTTCTTCCGTTTTCAGCTCTCAGTGTCAAAGTTTTGGATGAATAAAGCCTAGCTTTCGGGCCCTCCGTCTTTTCCATTGCCATTCTGATTGTCGTTGCACTCTGACCCTCGTCGTACACAACAATTTATTCATCCAAAAAAAAGTTTTCGGACAATGGATCAATTCTTACGTCCTGAACGATTCGATACCGACCCCAATACTCAAGACTCGGCAGATACCTGGGAGCATTGGTTTTGTACTTTCACAAACTTCCTAGAGTTAATCGGTTCTCATTCACCAGATAAACTGAAAACCTTGTTCAATTACGTCTCCCCTAGTGTTTACCGATTCATCAAAGACTGCAAAGACTATGAATCAGCCATCGAAACCTTGCGAGAAATTTACGTACAGCCGAAAAATGAAGTTTTTGCACGGCATCTTTTGAACACTTGTAAACAGGACGGAGCTCAGAACCTTGATCAGTTTGTGCAGAAGCTTCGCAGTTTATTGCCAGACTGCCGCTTTACAGCCGTCAGTGCAGAACAGCATACCGATGAAGCGTTGCGAGATGCGTTTATTAGCGGACTTTATTCCAATACTATACGCCAGAGACTGCTGGAACATAAGTCGCTGGATTTTAAAACCGCGTACGACCATGCAAAGTCCCTCGAACTAGCGCAAAAACAGTCGTTGTCGTTTTTGCCGAACACTCAACTTCCCTGTGCCACCGTATCGAACGACCCGCCAAAGTCCCCACGTTCTCAAACGTCATCGCACGAGCAGGCGACTGCTGCCAGTGTGGGGTCTTCATGTTTCTTCTGTGGCTATGCTCGTCACCCGAGATATAAATGCCCCGCTAAAGATGCGACCTGCAAAAACTGTGGGAAGAAAGGGCATTTTCAAAAGGTATGCAGATCTACTGGTCCGCGGAACACCTCATCTGTTTCAAGTGCGCTATCTTGCGTCACTGCAGCGGCTCCCGAGTGTCTAAAAGAAGCAGTCACCGATGTGAAAGCCAATGGTGTCCCGCTTCGAGCTCTTGTTGATACTGGTAGCTCAGAAAGTTTCATTTCCGAAAAGGTAGTCCGTCGTAACAAGTGGTCTGTACTACCATCGTCATCTGAGATAACTTTGGCATCTATCCAGCACAAAAGCTTTACTCTTGGACATTGCTTTTTAACGTTGCAACACAAACAAAACAAGTATCCCTCTTTCAGGTTTTCAGTATTACGTGACCTCTGTGCAGATATTTTGCTAGGGCATGACTTTCTTAAGCTTCATAAGTCCCTGGAAATCTCATTCAACGGTGACAAACCTTCTTTTTCCCTTTGTGGCCTAATTGCTGCCAAAATTGAACCTCCCACTTTGTTCGAGCATATTGACCCAAGGTGCAAGCCAATCGCCATAAAGTCCAGGCGACATTCTGCAGACGACGAGGCCTTCATTGCTTCTGAAGTAAAGCGTTTACTTGACCAACACATCATTGAACCCTCGAAGTCCCCATGGAGAGCGCAAGTGCTCGTCACGACAAATGAACGACAGAAGAAGCGAATGGTGGTTGACTATAGTCAAACTATAAACCGATTTACGCAACTAGACGCTTATCCGCTCCCCAGACTTGAAGATTTAAGTACTAAAATAGCTCAATATCGTATTTTCAGCACGCTTGATCTTGAAAGTGCGTATTATCAAATACCCATTAAAGAAAGCGACAGAATCTACACGGCTTTTGAGGCTTGCAACAACCTCTATCAGTTCCGTCGAATACCTTTCGGAGTAACGAATGGGGTAGCCTGTTTTCAAAGGGTAATGGATGACATAATACGCGCCGAACAACTTACCGGGACATATGCGTATGTGGATAATGTTACCATTTGTGGAAAGAATCAAGAAGAACATGATCGAAACCTCCAGCTTTTCCTCACCGTAGCACAAAAGTACGGCCTTCAGTTAAATCACGATAAAAGCACGATTTCCACCACTAAGCTCAGACTCCTCGGCTATGAAATTACTGAAGGTGTCATCAAACCAGACCCTGAACGCTTCAAGGTATTGCAAGAACTGCCCGTTCCGAACGACATCAAGTCTCAACAACGAGTGGTAGGATTGTTCGCGTACTATTCTCGTTGGATAAGCCGTTTCTCGGATAAGATCTACCCAATCACTCACAATACAACCTTTCCTGTCCCTGAATCTGTTATAAAAGCATTTGAAAGTTTGAAAAAGGAGTTGATGGATGCAGCCTTGGTCACTATCGACCCGAGAATACCTTTGGTGCTCGAAACTGATGCATCTGATGTCGCGATTTCTGCTACACTCAATCAAGATGGCAGACCGGTCGCATTCTTCTCACGTACACTGTCTGCCAGCGAAAAACACCATTCCGCTATTGAGAAAGAAGCTTGCGCAATTGTCGAAGCAGTGCGCAAATGGAGGCATTACCTACTCGGGACCCATTTTAAAATCATAACTGATCAGCGATCCGTTGCATTCATGTACTCAACACAACAAAAAGGGAAAATAAAAAATGACAAAATCCAACGGTGGCGGATGGAGTTGTCGCCTTTTTCTTTTGACGTTACCTACAGACCAGGCATAGAAAACAAAGCTGCTGACACGCTTTCTCGAAGTGTCTGTGCGAACACTTCATCTAACCTGGATCTAAAACGCTTACACACAACCCTGTGTCATCCTGGAGCAACACGCATGATGCATTTCGTTCGTGCCAAGAATCTACCATTCTCCCTAGAGGATATCCGACTCGTCATTAAGCAGTGTCAAGTGTGTGCGGAACTAAAACCACGTTTCTTCAAGTCATCTGGCGGTACCCTCATTAAAGCCACACAAACGTTTGAACGCTTAAGCATTGACTTTAAGGGACCACTGCCTTCGACGACTCGAAACAAATATCTACTGACGATCGTAGACGAATATTCCCGTTTTCCGTTCGCCTATGCATGTCCAGATATCAGTTCGTCTACGGTGATATCATGCCTTGTGCCACTGTTCGCCACATTTGGCCTGCCAAGTTTCGTGCATTCGGATCGTGGCTCATCATTCATTTCGGATGAGATCAAACGATTTCTTCATGAAAAAGGTGTAGCCACCAGTCGGACCACTCCATATAATCCAAGGGGGAACGGCCAGGTGGAAAGATTGAATGGAACTTTGTGGAAGGCTATTACGCTTTCATTACGATCAAAGGGTCTTCAAATCAGTCACTGGGAAGCCGTTTTACAAGACGCTCTCCACTCGATTCGTTCTTTGTTGTGCACGGCCACCAATGCTACTCCACACGAGCGGATGTTTCATCACAATCGAAAATCCGCAGTCGGTACGTCCTTGCCACAGTGGTTGCTTTCCCCAGGACCAGTTTTGATGCGGCGAAACACACGATCTTCAAAGTACGACCCCCTAGTCGAAGAGGTCGAGCTCCTGGAATGTAACCCTGAGTACGCATATGTCAGACGCCCTAACGGCATGGAAGAAACGGTCTCCCCACGCCACCTGGCGCCTTCAGCAGATTTCGGATGTGCTCCAGCATCCGACCAGCAACAACCGGAGTTCAACGCTGATTCATTTGTCAAACCGGAACTATCTGACTCTGCTTCGGAAAGTGAAATGTCGAATTCTTCTGAACACCCACTGGTTATACAACAACAGCGGACACGGCCGTATGTCCTGCGCAACAGAGAGGCCTTAAACTCTTGAGAACTTTCATCTCTGCGGGGGGTGAATGTTGTATATTTGCTCTGTTTTTCAAACGTTTTATCATTTATTGCTAAATCACTTTCTTCCGTTTTCAGCTCTCAGTGTCAAAGTTTTGGATGAATAAAGCCTAGCTTTCGGGCCCTCCGTCTTTTCCTTGCCATTCTTGCACTCTGACTCTCGTCGTACACAACAACAGTACGACTTTAATTTCAGACCACCTCGTATTACGATTCCTCGTAGTACGGGGATTCGCTGTCCTTCGTCGAGCTGCTCCCCTTTGGCCTTCCTTGCATAGCTTGACCTTCATGAACTGAGTTTCAACCATCATAACCCGCGGGATTATTGCAGCACAGAAGCCCGACCACCACGACAGGGTGACAGCTTTAAGTTATTCACGTGACAAAACTTATGAGAGCTATATGAAGCGGAAGGGAAGTACCTGCAGAATGGGACAAATCAACGATCAACGATCTTCAAAAAGTGGAAATCACCGCGGTATTAGAGTGGCAGCTGGTCTCACTGAACATGGAGAGGTAAATCCTTGAAAACCAGGCTTGATTCTGTCCTACAAGAGATTCTGAAACACTGACACTACTTCCAGCAACTAACAATGGTGGTCTTTATTAACCTGAAAGCTGTCTTTGACAGTTGGCCGTCGGGTAGTATGAGTGTCTACGGAGCGAAAGTGTTCCCCATAAGTTCTCAATCCTCCTTAAAGCACTGGGTGCCAACTACGATGGACGCGTAGTCTATGGAAAGCTCTCGTCTCAGCTCAACGTCATGTGGTATCAGGGAAGGGTGTCCTCTTTCATTCTTACCCTTGGAATTCATCATCGACATGATGGTGGGGAACTCACTCCCAGCCTCTGACGCCTGTGGAGTCAAGACGTCCCCACAGCGTTCGCCCATAGATATTGAGTACACAGACGACGTAGTTTTTCTTGGATCTCATTGTATTGCAGACGATATTAAGCAACTTAGAGTTCTGCCTCTTTTCTTTTCTTCACAATAAAAATCTCAAATGAATCATAGTTATAAGGCAGCGAAGCATGAGTCCAACACTGATGTTGTGCTGTCCATGAAGTTGATGATGATCTGCCTCGTAGTTTAATATGCACTTCACAGCTGCAAAGCGTAGAGTGCCACCACAAGGTTGATTGGTGCTGTGGATGAACCGACCGAGGTAGTGGACAAATTTGTTCGCCCGGATGGTTGTATCAGTCCCAATGGTCCAGCTAAAGAAGAAATTTTCATCTGCATCGAGAAAGCCTGATTAGCCTTTGTGTCCAGAGGCCAGTAGCTCCTAACAACCGAACACCACGTCGATTGGACGGATGTCACGTGCGGATGACGGACAAAAC